CTCCAGAGGAGCCCCAGCTGAGAGGGGCCCTCAGCCCTGGGTGTCCCTGTGTGCAGGGAGGGCTCTGAGCAGGGCCCAGGCTCTGCTCCAAGGGCCCAGCAATGGCACCAGAGGAACGGGCAGGGACTGATCCCAGGAGGTTCCACTTACACAGGAGGCAGAACTTCTTCCCTGGGCAGTGCCTTAGCCCTGAAACAGAGACCAGAGAGATTGTGGAGCCTCCCTCACAGGAGATATTCCAGTCTGGACACAATCCTGTGCCCTAGAATGACCCTGCTGGAGCAGGGAGGTGGGAGCAGCTGACCCACTGTGGTCCCTTTCAGCCTGACCCATCCCAGGATTCTTTACTGAAACCTCTCAGTGGTGATAAACTTAGTAGTGAAAAGGATTTCCTGTTCTTCTGTACTGCTCTTCTTTCTACTTCCTTGTTTTTCCACATCCAAGATCCACACAATGCTGGGCACTCCTGTTAACACCCTGCTTCACACTTAGCCTCCTTCTCCAGTTCCACTGCTGCAGTTCCCTGGTAGCAAATATTACAGGCTGGACTAATTCTAATGTGTCCATCCAAGCAATACATAATCTTACTGCTCACTCTTTGTTGTTCAAGATGGATTCTTATACATCAAACTTCCCTTAAGTTTGACCCCCGCCTCCAATGCAAACATCATAATTTAAAGCTGTATCATCTTCATTGTTATACTAATCTGTTCTGAGGCCAGTGTGATAAGAGTTTTTGAATCTTGAAATTATCAAGAAAAATTCATTCATAGTTGTATTTCTGCCTCCTGGGGAAAAATTTAAAGGTGTCACATACTTGTAAAGAAATAAGGCTAGAGAGCACTGGAAATTTTGTGGAAGGGAGTGCTCTTTGTTCTTCATTCCTCCCACTGGGTATTAATTCCAATAACTTCTGGAAGAATTGTAAGCTGTGTGTGCTTACAAGCACCATTTGTCCATTCAATCTACAGAATTTATAGACAGTCTTGCTTTTACAGCAGCTTTGCCTCCAATTTCACAAGCAGACAGAATTTTTTTACCCAAAAGCATTTTGACATGAAATAAATGCATTAATGGCTAAGGAATTTCTAACTCTACATGGATATGTATTTCCAGAAAGAGCTCTGGAACACATAGAAAGAAAGGAACTGATGAATCTGGATTCAGGCTTTGCAGTTTTTGAAGCAACAACCCACAAATGCATGAGGTATCAGCAATCAGCCTGGCCTGCTGCCATGGTTAACCCCATCAGCAGCTCAGCCCCACAGAAACACTCTATCCCTCACACCTGGGGGATAGGGAGGAGAACCAGAAGAGTAAAAGTCAGAAAGCTTTTGGGCTGAGATAACACTCTAATAGATAAAGCAAAAACTTCCCACACAAGGAAAAGCCAAAAGAAGGATTTAACTCACAGCTTTCCATGGGCAGCAGGTGCTCAGCCACCTCAAGGAGAGCAGGGCTCTAGCACACATAACTGTGACTTGGGGAACACCAGCACTCAAAAAATCCCCTGTGCCCTCTTCCCCCAGCTTTAAATAATGATCCTGATGCCATGTGGGAAATCCCTTTGGTCAGCTGGGGGCAGCTATCCTAGCTGTGTCCCCTCCCAACTCCTGTGCAGCCTCCTAGCTGATGGAGGGAGGGAGGGGGGTGAGAAGCAGAGACGATGCTGTGCAATCAGTGCTCAGCAATAGCTAAAACAGCCCTGTGTTACTGAAAGCTGTTACCCACACTGCTCCCAGCACAAATCCATGGTGGCTCCTATGAATGAAACAAGCTCTGTCCCAGCCCAACCCAGCACACCTTCAGAAAAGGGTGCTGTGCTGAGGGACAGAAGTGCTGGGCAGCCTTCTGGCCCCTGCCCCTGGCCTGCTGATGGGCTCAGGCAAGTCCTTCTATTTTTGCTCTTCCAACTACATCCTGGAATTGATGCCCTTTGCTAAGTGCTCTGAAACACACAGGTTAAAGTGATACCGAAAACCCAGATTTCTCAGCCATGAGGGTAAGAGACAGGAGCTCTGCTAGACCTGAAGCAAGGCAGGCCATGTCTATATGGCAGAACAGAGCACAGCAGGGAAGGACTAACAAAATAGATAAATAAATTTCAGCCTGTGAGTTTAAAAGTTTAAATTACATCTTTTTTCCTGCTGCAGTGTGGGATAACCATGTACAGACATTCCTTTATGGCAACTGGTTTCAGCCCTAGCTCTGATCATACCTTCTGGGTGCTGCTTTTGCACCTTGCCATACAAACAGGCTCTGCTGTCACACAGCAGAGGCTTAGAATTGAAACCTAAACTGGACATTTACTCATGGGACTCCCTCCGTTTAGCCTGGAAGCCTCTGTGTTGCAGCTCAGCCTTTGGGAACTGCATTTTATTGTCAGACTGGCAGTTCAAATTCTTTCAAAGGTGCATTATGAGGCAGCTGGAGTCCTGGGCTGAACTGCCTGTTCTGTGGCAGGAGGGGCTGGATTCTGCTTTGCTGGCTTCTGCTTTGCAGCCCATGTCACTGTTTTCAGTCTGCCTTTGCCTCCACGTGCAGTGAAGGTGATGCTGTCACACCCACAAGAAGAGGTGGCATCTGCAGTTGTCACCATGTTTGTTCTGTGCATAGATGGAGCTGGTAACTGTGCTGCCACCAGAACATTACTCAGTGACATCACTCAGGGTTGGCAGTTGGCATGGGGGAGTCTGTGTGCACCCAGGAACACGTCAGAATGGGGAATGACATGAGCTTGCATCCCTTTGCCTCTCCCCACAGAGCCTCTGAAGCTCCAGGCTGTCAAGCTCCACATGATGTGCAGAGAAATCCCCCACAAAAATCCCACTATCTTTCCCTGCAGGTGCTACAAGAGAGTCTAGACCCTCAGATATTTCCATGTTCTGCCAAAAAGTCTGAAAATTCAAGGCTAAAACACCACTCCCCCCTCCCCAGACACATGGATGTTTCATACACAGCCCCTGGTATTTTAGGGGCCTCACAGGGTTCTGTAAGGTCTGCATATTAATTCAGATTCATTTCCTGGGAGGAAAGAAGAGGCTGAGGCAAGGCTCTACCTGGAGAACCCAAAAGACACACAGTGAAGGTGGATCATGCAATAAATTAAACTCAACCCAGATTACAGCTTGTGAAGAGGCAGCTGAGGGAGCTGGGGGGGCTCAGCCTGGAGGAAAAGGGGCTCAGGAGGGACCTTCTGGGTCTGCACAGGTCACTGACAGGAGGGGGCAGCCAGGGGATGTCAGACTCTGCTCCCAGGGAACAATGGACAGGACAAGAGGGAACGGCCTCAAGACTGTACATGGTTACCTCTGGATGGTTGTGACAGGTTTAGGAGGAAATCATGTAAGAAGAGACTGCTGAAGTGTGTGTGCAGTGATGGAAAGAGACTGAGAATTCAAACAACTTACCTTCTAACTCTCCTTTATGGACTAAGCTTTCAGAAAAACCCCAAATAAGGAAATTGTGTTTCGTTCAGGCCTGGGTTTGGTTATCTTTTTGGTTTTTTTTTTTTTTTTTCCATTTCAGAGCCTAACTGTCCTGCTGTAAAAGATGCTGAGAAGTTCAGGGGAAAACTGATTCAGAGGACAAAGTTCTGTTCCATGTGAGGCCTGTTGGTATGGCTGCTATGTAGGTGTATGTGAAACAAACCTTATCAGGCGCAGCTCACAGTATCGATTTATCGTTTATTATCAGATAATGAACCCATCATGATTTAGATACATCACTTATAAATCATACTCAGGCAGCACTTCTGACTAATCTGTTCCATGACTATCAAAGGTTCTTCTTTTTTTTCTCCCCCCAACACCTTTTTGTTTGTGCAGTTAACACTGTTACCAGCATTTAACACCGTAAGGGAAAAATCAGTAATAGAAGCTTACAGCCCCAAACTTTGGTTTTTTCAGGTCCCTTTGAATGTAAACAAAAACCTGCAAACATCCTGTATAAACCTTATTTTCAACAGACCCATGTAAGTTTGGAGACCTTTTCTGTGTTGAACTTGGAGGGAATTTTCTAAGTGGGAATAAGGTACAAAACCCAGAGCAGGAAATGTCATGCACAGGACTCAGTGTCTGAGTGTTTTAAATGTATTTTTAGGTTTTAGAAGGTGTTCACGTTTCAATTAAAATCTGTGAGGCTTCCCCCTGACCTGAAATGGAGGACAAAAACAATGTAATTAAAATATCCTGCAGCAAACATGGGGGTAATGAAAAAGGAGTTTAAGGTAATAAAGGCAGGAAAACTCAGGTTTTCCATCTGTGGAGTTGTTGGCTCAAGCAGGAAAGAGTCCAAGCAATGTAGGAACAGCAGCTCCTTGTAACTACTGTTACAGTAAAGTATGGAAACATTCTTGTAAAAAGCATTGATCATGGTTTTTTAAATTTTTATTTTGAATTCATGTTAATGCATGATCAATATCACCTAAATTTGGCTGTTAAACCATTGAAGTACTTCGTGGGTGGAGCAGGTTAGAATTTGAGTTACATTTTTGAAGCTGTGTGGTTGCAGTACATTAACCCCAAGACATTTTACACTGTTGCATGTACTTCTTGTTTATCTTTCTTTCAGGTGGATACGCTATGTCAGATCATGCACAGGAGCACAAAACAGCCACAGCACAGAAATTGTACTCTCTATTCTCCTGAGAACCAGCAAACCTTTCATACCTGTGTAAGTCCATTTTTGGGAATTCCTTAGAGAATTCCCTCTGCTTTGACCAACAAGATTTTTTCTCATATATTATTATTAATGATGGGCTTTAATCTTCATTTGCTCCTGTATTCTGAAGGGCAAGAAGAGACAGAATGGGGGCTGAAAACAGGCTTTGAAGCTGCACTGAAGGAAGTAACTCAGTCACTTCCTTTTTTTGTATTTCTCAGCCTTTCTCAGAGCCATAGCACAGCACGTGAGTGTTTTGAAGGCAGTCAAATTGAGACAGGATGCAAATGACTGAGTTAAAGCTGCTCTTTCCATAGCTCTGAGGGACGGGCTCACGGATGGCAGGGGATGTCACCTACGCGGCCGTGGCAATGCTGCCGAGGGAAAGGCCACACGCTCCTTCAGAGACATCAAACCCAGGTAAAACCTCTTGGGCACACACCTTCTGCTGTCTTGAGCTCTCTCTCTCTTTCTCTCTCACATTTTAAATTGGGTAAAACTAGAAGAATGCCATAAGTTTCTGCATGGAAAGTGCAAGGAGGTGGAATAGTGGATGAGATCCTCACAGTACAAATCAGCCAAGCTGCTCCCAAAGCAGAACCACCAAGGAGCAGCAGCTCAGGTCTGGTCCCAGGCTTTAAGTAACAGAATGAGAAAGAAAAAGTGTTCCTTGGTTGAGTAATGAGCATAATATTTCTTTTTAAATGACTAACATGATCAAGACAATGCTCCACCGAATTACTACCTAGCCCACAAATCAGATCAATGTTTATATTCATGGAAAGGAGCAGCAAATTAACCAGTAAATCAGGAAACTAGTAGCAGTCTAAAGTGCAGCCACTGTCACTGAAGGAAGTACTGAATGTCCCCTGAAACCTTCCTGCTCTTTCTCTTTAATTTTCCAGTGGTGATTTTCCAGAACCAAATTATCAATTCGTGATCACTTCATATTTTTGTAAAAAAACCCCAAAGGATTAAGCCAGGATTCATGGTAAGGAGATGATTTGAACTAAATTTTCTGAAGAAGTGACATTTCTACTACTTGGGAAAAAAATGTAATTCATTCATGAAAGCATTTGGAAAAAATTCTGGATCACATCTAACACGAATGATAGCTTATTATGAGCAAATAGGAAATGCTTGTGGCATCAGAATAAGGATATTTTCATGCTTTCATTAGTAATTATTGTATTTAATCCCTTAAGGAAATAACATTGTGTAATGAGCATTTTTAGATGTTCTACCTACAATGGAGATTAATAGTGATGATGGCGCTCCTCTGAACACATGCACTTAAATGACAGAAAATAATACCTTTTATATATTTTTACAAGACTAGTATCCAAAAGATAAAAATTAGTTCACATTATTATATATATATGGCACGAAATACTACCTTAGACTCTGTGTTCATGCACTTATGGATGTTGTTTGCACTGCTGTAACCTGTGCAACAGAAAGAGGGTTTGCCTGGAATTTTACCCAGTATCCAAAGTGATAAACCTTATTTGTGAAGGGAGACAGACATCAAATCTTGATTAGAAGACATCCAAAAATATTTCTTGATCATGCTGCCTAAAGGAAAAGCTCAGTTTTGGACAGGCCAGTTCCAATGAAATTTATCATTAACATGTGGATGGCTCTTAGTAAACTTTTGTTGAACTAATTTTAACTCTTGATATTTTCTCACATAAAGTTACTGGCCATGGTAATTAAGTGATTTCTCAATGGCCTTTTCCCTTTAAATACTTAACTTCTCAAAAATGCTAATAATTTTTGTGAATGTTCTTCTGTTCATACTCCAGTGCTTCCATCCCCTTTAAAAAACAGGCACCAGAGATCCACCCAGCATTTCTACAAGTCTTAGTTATTCTATCTCAAATATACAGAGACAAAAGCTCTTAACTAATCTTTTCTTCACTGTTTATAGCTCCCAGTCTCACCTTCCCCACTCTTATGTCTGATTATACTCAAATACATTGTGTTTGATTGGGCTTGGACTTACTGTTGGACTTCAGCTGTCACTCAGGTGCTCTGGACAACAGGGATGAGGGGATTCTTGGATGTTCTGCCAGAGTGTGTTGAGGAGGATTTTGCAATGGCTCTATCTATACACAGGCTTTGCTAGGTGCAGGTGATGTCACTGTGCATGCGCTTCAAACCAGGTGTTGAAAAGTAGAGAATGTTCCCAAATCCCAGCAAGGACAAACATACCTGGGAATCCATTTTCCAGCAAAAGACTCTCGCTGTTTTTCTGTCCCGGTTCCCTCACAGATAATTTGAGAGTTGCCTGTTTATGAATTCTGAGTGGCTACACAGAACTTTCCTTGGGAGAATGACAAACCTAGGAGAGTTCAAGTCTACCACCAAACTAACCCACAAGCAGTTGTAGCCTGCCATTGGTCATGCCCTTAACTTCTTGTTCTCCTCCCTAACCTCCTGGGCTGCTCCAGGTGTTGACCAGGTCCAGCTGGAGCCTCTGGAGCTTCCCCCTGGATGTGCTGGCCCACATCTGGACACAACATTTCCTAATGGACCTCCCCAGGAGCACTCCCTGTCTGCAGATTCACCAAACAGAAGCTTCCAATAAACAGAAATGTTTTTCTGCCCCTGACAACAGGCACAGGGAAGAGCAGTGAAAATTTCAGTTTCAGTGGCTGACAGAGATCTCCACCTTGTTATTGAATTAGGTGAGGGTGTGGAAGCATTCAGCACAATTAAAGTTATGTGGTGTTTTAAAACCCCCTGCTGACTTCCGAGGACTTCACATTCAAATAATCATTCCAGCATTCAAATAATCTTACCAGCCCATACACACTGTAATGGAAGGAATGATTTTGGTTAATTATTCAGCTTGCATGGATGACTTTTTTTCTAACAGGCTTAAAGATATTCTTTGAAGGAATAAACGTGCATTTGAGAGACACATTATTTACTAATAATAGCAGAATGTCTAATGTACTTATTTTAGAAGTACCTCTATTTACAGGGCTAGTGCATGTTAAAGTTTAAAAGTCCCAAGTGGTTTTGTAAAATTATTTACATTATAAGAAGAAAAACTTTTAGGGCATTTGATTTGAGAACAATTACATTTCATTTACAAATTTTCTGTAGTTCACTGAACTAATAAATTGAAATAAAGCAAACAACCAAGCGTATTAGGTCATATTCTCTAAAGCATAGACTGTCTCCCCTATATGAATGCCTTTATTTGACAATCAGGTGCTCAGTGGATTTTTTAAACTGTAAAACCTCTCCATACTTCAGCAATTCTCATATGAAATGCTGCCTCATTTTAACCTAATGAGACTCTTCTTCTGCTGAGCTTTTCCCTGATTAGTGAAATTTAATGCAACACTTCTTTTTAAAAGCCCCAGTGGTTACAAACCAGGGTGGTAGCACAGAAGCTTATTCTTGATACAGATGGATAAAATCTCTCCATTTATGGAACCAAAAGCATTGTCCCAAAGGTCCAAACACCTTCCATAACACTAATCAGTAGCTCTTCAAAATACCCAAGTAAATGATATTGAAAACATCTTCAGAAAGATCCATGTGCCTTGAACCCACACTGTGAGATTTTAATGCCATTTTTGGTTTTGTTTTGGCAACGTGCTTTTGGAAAAGGATGTATTCAACCGTCAGGTCCGTTCCTCTGCCGCTATAGGCAGCACCTGAAATATCCTGGGATAAACACTCACAAGTCAGGAAAGTCCCCAGGAATTACCTTGCTGCAGCAGCATTTCTCTGAGTGCTAGTTTTCATTTGGCACCTCTCTGCCCTTTAAAACAGTGGCGGGTCTAGCACCGCTCCAGCCCCTGTGGTACCTTCTGAGATGGCTTAGCAACAGATGGGATGCTTGCCATGGATGGGATCCAGGTCCTTCCCATCCTTCAGCCTATTTATCTGGCTCCTGCTCCAGCCACACAGCACCCAACAGTTCAAAGCTTTTGGAGGAGGCTTTTCCTGCCTGACAGCAGGAGGAAGTGGTAAATCATCTTGCCTGCCATTGCCTAGGAAAAGGAAAATGCTGAACAAGCAGCCCTGGAAACACACCCCTTTTCATGCAGGCTCCGCCTTTATTGTTCTTCCACTTGGTGACTGGCACAGCCACAAATGTCAGTGTTGCCCTCTCTTTACAGGAAACACGATCACATATGCTGAGCTGCATGTGAAGTCCCAACGCCAAGGGAACAGCAGAGCAGAGACTTCCACTCCTGGTACTGTGCAATTTTGTTTGGTTACTAATTATAGATGGAGTTTTTCCTATTGCCCACCAGTGAAACCTGTTATCAAGAGCCTTTATGTACACCCTCTCAATGAAGGGCTGATCTGTCGTTTCATCTGCTGGTTTTTCTCCTGGCTTCTCAGATTTTACATTTTCCTTTTAAAAATAATACTGAGAGATGTTTTCAAAATAATTTCTAAAAATGCCTTTGTGCCCTACATGGGAAATGTAGTAAAGCAAAATAAAATTCCATGGTTTTTTTAGAATTCTTGTGGAGGAAGATGCATTTGGCTTTGAAAGCAGGGTAATGCCCAGGTCTCTATGTGCCATTAGTGCCCTGGTGGGAACATTATACCAGATAGGTCAGGCAGCCAGAGGATGGAACAGTTTCTTATCTCATGCAGGCAAGGTCAGGGAAACAGACGTTATGACAGTGCACATCTGTGTCTCGTGGCACTGGTACCTTAATGCCAAATTTCCTCGGGTTCTGCAGCTTCCTGAGTGTTTCCCTCTGTCACAGGATGAATGCCAAGCAGCTGGAGAGATGCTTGGTTTGATGCACTTCCCTGTGCCATGCCAGGGAGTGTCAGTATGGGGCTTTTTTTCCTGTGCATTTAGGGAAGTTATCTTTGCACTGCAGAATGGGAAAAGTAACTTGGGAGCAGAGAGGAGGAACGCCCCACAGCCCATCCCTGACACCGCAACCATCCCTGATACCACAGCCCATCCCTGACATCTCAGTCCATCCCTTACAGACACCACAGCCATCCCTGACACCTCAGCCCATCCCTGACACCTCAGCCCATCCCTTACAGACACCACAACCACCCCTGACACCACAGCCCATCCCTTACAGACACCACAGCCCATCCCTGACACCACAACCATCCCTGACTGACACCACAGCCCATTCTTGATACTCTCCTGGAATTACTCTGCAAGGTCCTGCAGGGTGTGTGTGGGTAGGTGGGAGGAGGCAATACTTGAGAAAAATAAGTCAAAGGAGAAAAGGCAAATTTTTAATGGTTGACAATCACTTAATCTATGAGACCAAACATTTTGATTTCACTTCCATGTGTGCAAAATGGATGCACATTTTTAATAAGTAAAATGCCACTGTATCCTCCTGACAGTAGAGTGATTTTAGGCAGATGATTTCTCTGTTTCCCCAGTGTTAAGTTTAAGAGTGCCAGGACCTTAAGCTGCTCTTCCTCCTGCCTCCCTGCAGGCTGCCAGCACAGGTTCTCAGCCTGGTTCTACGTGGCGCTGGTCCTGGCAGTCCTCGTGCTCATCCTGCTGGGAGTTGTGGCCATACAAGCCAAGCAGTGTGAGTAGATCCTGCCTCCTGCTTCACCCCTTCACTGCAGACATGGTTAAACCTCTGAAAGAGCTGAGAGAAAAATTCCCTTAGTGTTGCACTAAAAGGTGTCAACTTGTACACAAATACAGGAAATGAGAGACTCTTGACAGGGGGTTGGAGTGACAGGACAGGAAGGAATGGCTTCACACTGACAGAGAGGAGGTTTAGATTGGATATCAGGAAGAAATTCTTCCCTGTGAGGGTGGTGAGGCCCTGCCACAGGATCCTCAGAGAAGCTGTGGCTGCCCCATCCCTGGCAGTGTCCAAGGCCAGGCTGGACAGGGCTCTGAGTAACCTGGGATAGTGGGAGGTGTCCCTGACCATGGCAGGAGGGTTTTGGAATTAAATGATCTCTAAAGTCTTTCCAAGCCAGGCTATTCCATGAACATCTCAGGAGGGCTTTGCCCACTGAGCTTTACTTAGTTTGCTCATAACTGTGTCTATACCAGGCAATGTACACAGAGACATCCTCACATTCACAGTCCAGCTCTGGGTACAAAGACTGCATTTCCTTATTCTTGTTGTTAACAATGACCTCTCTCTCTTACTATTTTTTTTTTACTTTGGGCTGTTCAAGTTTTGAAGGGCAGAGCAGGAAAATCAAAAAGTTTGCCTCACTATGGTCTGAACAGCACCAGCAATGACATTTCTTCAGAGAGGACTGTCTCAGCAGCGCTCCTGAAACAGCTCATGGAGGAGCTGTGTGAAGATGGACAGGGTGAGGCACGTTACTCCTTTCCAGCATAGAGGATGTGTGATGTGCACAGTTGACTCTCTTCCCATTTCTCTGACACCCTGCAGTTTATGGGAACTCAGAAAGCATGGTGCTCCTGCAGAGCAGTGATAACAAAATCTAAACTAACATTTTAATCATGATAGTGTTGCTCCTCTGTTAATATAAAGTTTCCAGTATTTTGATTAAATTTCTATCTGCCAGGAGCTGCTGCCAGAAATGCCATATATCCTCCTCTTGTCCTGGAGAACACTTTCCAGACAATGGTTCATAAACAGGGGGAGGAATTCCATGCATTGCAGGAGCTAAATATTCCCCCTGTCCACCCACAGGGGCAACATGTGAGCTGTGTCCCCCCGGCTGGCAGCTGCACAGGGGCAGATGTTACTTCTTCTCTGAGGAGGCCAGGAGCTGGGAGGACAGCCGGAAAAACTGCTTGGCCAGGAAGTCCCAGCTGCTTGTCATTGAGGATGATGTTGAGATGGTGAGTCTCGCAGCAGTGACAGGTCTCAGGCAAACATTTCTCCAAGAGAAAATGGCCTGGATATTAAGAGTACACATAGACAAGTAAGAACCTCCTGAGGGAAAGGATCTGAGTCTCCCTGCACAGGAGCTGGGTTTGGGAATGTTAGCAGAACAGAGCTGAAGAGGAGAAGCACAAGAGGTGCCAAGTGTGGAAGCCAGAGTAGTTTTGACTGGGAAGAGGAAATGCTGGGGACTTTCCACTGCTTGGCTCTGAGAAGAGAGGAGTCTGGTCATGTGTGTGGGCTGATGTAAGGGGCTGCTGTGCCATGGCTGCATCCCTGCCCTTGCTCTTCAAGAGGAAATAAAAGCTGTGCATGAGGCAGGAGCATGACCTGGGCACAGCAGGAAAGCTGTTCTGTCAGATAACATCCTTCTAATAATTCCACAGGAATTTATAGACAACAAAGACAAAGATACCAAATATATCTGGATTGGCTTGGACATCAAAGGCATGGAGAAAGCATGGAGTTCAGTGGAAGATCACAGAGTAAAAGAAAAGAGGTGACGATTTTTGCGGGGAGGATATCTTTGGGAAAAGCAAAGTGTGGTATCCCTGTTTGGAAATACAATTCTGAATCTGAGCTAATTACCCAAAGCACAGATGTAAGCCTGCAGCCTCAGGTACCTATTCAGAGTCTATTTCATGCCAGTCCCAGGCCAACAGGTTCCTGCTTGGCACTTTTAGAAACTGATTTCTGGCTCCAGGACTAACCACAGCCACAGCTCATATATTTATTAATGCAGAGATATTATTACACACTTCTCCTGAAATCCCTGCCAAGAAACTCTCTCACTTTACAAACCATGTGTTGCCTGCCTCTGTTGAAGGTGATGCCTGTCACCACATAGCATTGGCTGGGATCTGTGCAGCTTTTTTCAGCATTGTGGCTGCATGGGGAGGATCCTTATCCTTGTAACATTAATAATGCCAAGCATCCATTCCTCAGAAGCCAGCAGTCCCTGCTGGGGGTGCCCAACCCACCTCTGTACAGCTGCTGTGCTTCAAGGGGGTGGTCAAGTGGGCATCATCCACCCTCCCTAACCCAGAGAACCATCAGGATTTTTAAGCAGTGCTAAGTTTAGACTCAGCAACTCATTGCATTCCTTTTGGTCTCTCAGCAGGACAGCTTTAAAAAGCATCGAGGCTGACAAGAACTGTGCTGTTTACAGAAGAAAAAACGTGATCCAGGCAGATAACTGCCAGACCTTAAAGGAGTGGATCTGTAAGAAGAATGCAACTTTGCTGTTGCTCTGAGCGAAATTTCCAGACAGCAGGCAGAGCTTCTTGTCAGAAGACCCATTTTACAGACAAACCAACTTGTGATGTAAATAATTTTCATCAGACTGGCAGGGAAACTTGCACTTTGCTGGGCTGTTCTCCCTAAAGTCAGAAGACAGGTCCTGCAACAGGCCTGCAAGCTGGCACACAGGGATTTTGGGGTGTTGAGCCTTCACACAGACAGATTTTGGCAGCAGCTGCCTCAGGAAGGGTCAGAGGAGAAGAGATACTTGTGAGGAGGAGCACTGTGCACATAAACAGTGTGATGTAGAGGAATTAAGGCCCCTGTGGGAGATGAAGGTGTGCTGTCACCCCTGCCTGCAGGCAGCTGCTGAGCTGAGGACTTCTTATTTGGGTTTCAGGATTTTAGTGTTTGCTGAAGTTTGTGGGCTTGGGGTTTTGTGATTTTTTTCCTTGGGGTCTAATTGTGACTCACAGAAGTCACTTGAGGGCTGGAAAAAAAAATGCATTTGTTGGATTTATTCAAAGCTGCTGCACAGCTACTGGGTGTAGACAGCAGAGCAGACATGGAGTGACTTGTAACACTTGTGGTTAATATGCTGATTGCTCCCATCCTCTTTGGTGTTGAGCCTTGGAATCTGAAGGGATTAACTAGGAAAGGGGCTTGGGCTGTAAAACAACATTGCAGTGCAGGGAAATAAAGTTGATAACCTTCCTCTCCACCTATATTTTGTCCCTTTACATTGTAAATTCCAACCACAGTTATGGTATGATGAGGTACCAAAGCCAAAGACTGGTGAAATTAATGCCTGGGAGTGCACTCAGTAAATGCATTACTTAGGCATTGAAGTCATAAATAAATGCTATTTCTGGGTCTAGAACACAAAATGCTAAGAGCAGTCTGACCTAGTGCCTTTACTAGGTTCACATGTTTGACAAAAATAAAGAAATGTCATGAACTGAAGGAACTACTCTAACAAAAATGGCACTGACTGGAATTTAAGCCCTTACAGCGATGAGAAAGAGAAACAAAGTCGAACATGGCTTTTGAGATGGTGAGCCTTTACCTCATCTTTGCTGTGATGCACACAAATAAAGGCAGTTGCAGTTTCTCAGAGATGTTTTTTGATATCTGTGCATGCCTGGGGAGGGTTAATGTCCAGCACTTTAGGGCTGCAGATTAAAAAGTGAACTGTGCCCTCAGGGACTTCCCTTCAAACAACAACAACAAAAAATCCCAGCACAGATTTGCCACGCAGAATGCAGCATCAGCAGCTCAAGACCCAAGAGAAACTGCTGTTATATAAGAGGAAACGACAAAAATCCCCCAAACTCAGCACAGCACGTGGGGGGAAGAGGATTGGTTTGCTCATTCTAGACAACGAGGCAAAGAAAAGGAAAGAGTCTGAAATGAGTAAAAGATAATCATCTATACCTGTATAATACATGCTTTAGAGAGAGAGAATTTCTGACTGCTAAAAAATTTTCACTTCAGGGTACTCACAGCACACCCTTCTCCATGCAGTGGAGTTGACAACTGATGGTTTTCTGGCAGATCTTTTTTGATTCATGCTGAATTTAACAAGAAAACCAAACTCCTGCATGCTGGCTTCTCTCAAATTAGTTGTGGTGTTTAGGTTTTCACAATGTTCATGAAACATCTACAACTTGGGCCTTCTTGCTATTATTCATGTAATTAAACAAGTTTTTGCAGGACCTTACTGAAGTTCTTACCTACAATTTAAGCAGTCACTTATTTAACAGAAAAAATAAAAAGAAATTACCATTGAAGTACTTCATCAAACTCCGCTCTGAGTAAAGCAAGTAGGCAAAGTTGGCAGCTTCACTCTTCTGTTCTTAATATCACCAAAGGAGTTCATAGCATCCCTGAGGAGTCAGATTCCAGAAGAGCTTTCACTTTTTAATCTTTTTGTTAAAAGTCTGACTCATTATGAGGTGTTAAAAAGGGGAAAGCATTCTTTTTTGGATCAAATATTCTGTTTCATGTCAGCCCCAACATTATTATTAAAGATTTTTTCATGTTCAAAACATTTTACTTCGCTTCAGATTTTTTTTTCACCAAAATGGTACCTGAGATGAAAAATACTTTCAATATCCCAAACCACTGTAATTCAGGGGCTCTGTAAAGATATTTATTAAGTATCTTTTCAGGACTATTGCAGATACCATATCCTTCAGAATCAGGTTAATGTAAAAACATTGCAGAATAACACCTTCCCCCCAACATAAATAAATAGATAATTAGGCTTTTTATACTGTAGAGTCCTGTTACTGTGCCTATAAAGAATACAAGCAATTAAGAAAAATGTAAAATTAATGATTATATTTAAATAAACATCTGAAAGGCACAAGTTGCTGACACTATCTATGTGTATGGTCCTGCAACAGTCAAGTCCTTCTATGACAGAAAATAACGAAGGTGAACTTCCCATTCTTCCTTCTCTAGAAACTTCATAGTTATATTCCTTCCACGCAAATTTGCTTCCTCTGGGTCAAATGACACTTTTAATTTTTGGACAACCTGCTAGACATGTGTGGGACTCAGTCAATCAAAGGGATTGTGCCCTAAGTCTGTTCAGGCTCCCAGCAATCCAAGAGCACTGGAGGCTGCTGCTGAAAATGTCACCTACACAAGGAAACACTGACTGTCCATCTGGAAATGTCCCCTTGCTCAGAAGGCTCACACCATGACAGGCACAGGGTATAAGGGAAACACAGAGAAATATCCCTGTTAATTCTCTCATTCCCTTCTCCTCATTTTACCTCCTTGCACTGAGGATTATTTCTACATTTACACATTAATGCCTGCAGCTTCACTATCACTGTTCCAGTTCCAACTCTTCTCCCCTCCATCAGTGCAGATGCTCAGGTAAATAAATATTCTCATCTATTGTGACCTTTTTTGGCTAAAGAAATTGTTGTGAGGATAACTTCAGGTGCAGTGCAGCTACATAAATCAGCCTGATAACGTCATCACCAGGATTTAACAAAATTAATATAACATAACATTAACAAAATGTGGAATACAATGCAAGGTACATCCCATCAAATGGAAAGAGAGGAATTTGCGTGATCCTGTCCAAAACAACAGTGTTCACTTCTGCATTGCCCTGTATCCACGAGTCACTGGCAGCCCTCCAGACAGACCCACTTCACCACCCATGCACACAGAGCCTGGCAAAAGGAAAAGCAGAACAACTGCACACCCAAAAGGGAAAGAAAGAGCAGCTGCTCCTACAAGAGAAGAGTAAATGGAGGAAATACTGATGGCACAGCAAAAAGAAACTACAGCTAGGCAGTAGCTGGAAAAATGGGGCAAGGAAATGACTTATCAAGATGCTGAAGAGAGCCTTTAAAATTGTATCTTTAAAGCCTTCCTCCATGGGTGGAGAATTCTGGCTACCAGAAAAGTCATTCACCTCTGGGTAGGAGCTGGGACACATTCCCAGGTCCCAAAGTGTAGACATAGCCTGTGTAGGCATCATCATATCAGAGCTCTGAGTGTCAGGGGTGGGGGCTTTGTCCACCTTTATTGTGCTGAGTTGATATTCAAGCTGCAGACCCATTTCCTGGTTAAGTAACATCCTGAGGCTGAGACTCCTTTGGACTCCAGATAGGCACAGCTGCCAGAGCCTTTTACTTCAAACCTGCCACGGAGAAGAGAAGACAGGATTACTTGGCCACCCACAATCAAATATTGCAATAGAGCAAAAGCAGCTATGGGCTGCTATCTCAGGTTCTCTTTGAATTCTCTTTGAATAAAGCCTGATTTATCTCAGGCAAGGCACCACAGGAGGATGATGTTTTGTGCCTTGAAAAGAATACCATGGAGATTGTCCTTTCTTAATGGTATCTTGTGCCCAGAATACAAAATCCAATACTTGTAGTACTCCTGCATCTTGTTTAGTAGACACTTAATGTGAAATACACCCTTAGAGGAGAGAATGAAACTCAGGTTTGTCTTTCTCAGGGATGCTGTGCCATCAAGATGGGCACCACCGCCTTGTACCTTCACATCTTCCTATCCAGCTAAAAGGTTCCAGCAGAAGCTGTGAAGGAAATGCATCTCTAATTTCTCCCTTCCTCAGAACTCAACAGGCACCATGGTTAAGGGGGTGGAAGAAAACAAGAAGCAAAACTCAGTTTCCACACCATAGGTGTCCCTATGTAAGAGGTAAGAGACTCCTTCAGCACAAAGTGCTATAAAGTTCTATGGATAGGCCAAGCAAACTGGAATGGTCTCTGGAAAAGCCAAGGGACAAATCCCCACCAGTGTATTAACTCCTGAGCTTAGATATCAAGGTGTTTGCCCTCCCCCTTCAGGAGGGGCAGTTTGAGGCAAGCAGTGAGGCAGAAGTCTAAGAACGGGAAGAACCTCACTGAAAATGAAAGCATCAGTGGATGTTTGTACTGCAGATGGGATAAAAGAGTGGGAAGGACTGCAGTTTTCAATTTGAGGTGCCCATGTGTTCCTCACATCTCTCACTAAATTCCTTTGTCAGATCAAGCCTTCAGGACTTGGGGATGAAGTGAATATAGTCACATATCACCAGTAATGTCACAGATTTAAAAGTATTGAAATTTTCCACTTTTTAAAGTAATTTCAGACTTGTGAAATCTCATTGCTTATGCCTATGAATGGTAATTCTGCCAACTCCTGCCAGCAGCTGCTCCAGGATGAGCAACAGCAGCCTCTAAGGAGATGGGACAGCTGCCAGGGAGAGGAACCAAGTGCCCCACACCTGGCAACGGTGGCACAGAACACAGGGCCCTGGCCACAGAGCAGCTCATGCAACATAAATTCACATCTGCCTTTCCCTCCAGCAGCCTCTTTCCGAGGAACATTCTATAAAAATGAAAACATGTATTAGCAGTCTCCCAAATCTCTTTGCTATTAACTTCACACAGCTAACACGCAGGTTTGTATTGTTCAAAATATCTTCTATAATGAGGAATTTGTGTTACTGTTAATCTTCCCTTTCTCCTTCAATTCCCTTCCTCCCATTGCTTTTGCGTGTCTTGGTTTCACTTTGTCTGATGTCTGTTACCATGAGCCTGCCTCATGTTGCTTCTCAGCATTACAAACTTATCTCCTAGTTTTCATCTGCAACAGTTTTAACAATGCCACGTGAAATCTTCATTGCATTCATACCCTCTCCATCCCTTTAACATAATAACAGAGATTTCCTACAAGTCACTAGATCTGTATATTTTTCTTACTCCCCTATAATCAAATATCACCAGCAAAACCCCTCCACATCAACTTACAGTTCATTGTCTAATGCTTTTCCATTTACCCAAAAGAACTCTTCATTTCTTTTATAGAGTCCAATCCATGGGTCTTGCTTTGTTATCTTCATCATAAACCTCTGTAGGAATAAACCCACATGAGAAAAGAAGTTCTGCATGTTCAGTCCAGCTATCAAAAAACAAAGTCTTTGATCCAGGGCAAAAGCAAAACAACAATCTAACATTTCCTGCTGAAGAAACAATATTAAAACCTAAATATACAGAGACTGGTGACTGGGATAGGGTTGACTGACCTAGGGAGAGACTATTCTAAAACATCAAGGTCTGCTATCAAGGTCTGGAACAGACACAGAAGAATATATTCTCCTAGGCCTTTCCTAATATTGTGGTATAATATAGAAAAAAATGCTCCAAGCTGCACTTTGGGTAACTATCTCCTAACTCCAAAGGTTACAATTAACACATTTACCAACTTGTGTGTCATTATATCTCAATATGAGAAAACAATTGTTGAATTAAAGATAAATGAGATGCAACAGTTTTTACCCTGATAGATGCCCTCAATATGACAATTTATAGCTGTGAGCAGCACCAAATTTAATTCAGGCAAGTACTCAGACATTTTCTAAACCATCAACGGCTTAAACTGATGTTTCCTGTTTTCAGGGAGAAGAAGCACGAAGTCTTCTGCAGGCTGTGACTCATTGTAGTCTTACATCACCTTCCTAACTGTTCAGCTGAGGAGGCTGGAGGAGTTCCCTGGAAGAGAACTGGGGGGAAAACAGGATCCCCCTTTGGTTCCCTTACCAGCTCCTGATGATTCTCGATGACCAGCAGGGAAGCGTTGTGGGAAGAGCACTGGCTCTGGCTGGAGTTCCAGGCAGCTTCACTCTCTGAGAGGAAGTAACACTTCCTCTGGAAGTACAGCCAGCCTGATGGACACAGGTCCAGGGGAGGACACACAGGAAACTCTTTGGCCAGAGAAGGCTTTACTGGGAAAAGACAAAAACCAATCTACCTATTTCTTCCAGCTGGGAAAGGTTTTACTTTCTGACTGCATCATCTAAAATAATCCCAGTCTAGCCACAGCATTGTGACTTCTGCCCAGCTGAAATAATTATTGTAAACTAATGATATATTCTGGATCCTACACCCTTCTGCTTCTTGACATATCTTTAGAAGGATGGTCAGGGACATGTTGGTGGAAGTAGCTGAGAAGATGATCATAAAGTGTCACTCCTACACCTTAAAAATTCCAACAACTCCAGTTTTTGCATGTGTTCCTTCCTCAGAGTTGAATTAATAATTTGGTTTATTATAGTGTCATTTGTGAAGGACTGCATATCGGTAGGACAATTTTCCTGTTGTTATTTGTTTTCTTGAACTTGGATTAAGACCAACAGTGATGTGACAAACTTGATACCAAAAGTACACTAAGATTAAACTGAGCCATCCCTAGCCCCACTGAAGCATGTGGAGTTGTTCCTGCACTGGCCCACAATTTCAAACAGAAATCACAGATTCACACAAGATCACAGAGTGGCTTAGGCTGAGAGTAACCTCAAAGATCATTTTGTTCCACCCCCTGCCATGGGCAGGAACAGAATCCACCATCCCAGGTCATTTCAAGCCCCATCCAGCCTGGCCTTGGACACTTCAGGGATGGGGCAACCACAGCTTCTCTGGGCAGCCTGTGCCAGGGCCTCAACACCCTCCAAGTATGGAACCCCAAACTCTGCTAATTTCTATTGCTAATGATATTTTCTTTTAAAATTTCTTGCTTACCAAACTGAATACATGAAATCAAAATGACAGCAGCAGTAAGGACACCAGTGACAGCTCGCCACAGCCAGATGTTTGAGAACAGACCTGAAAAAATAAATGCAAGGAATTAAAAAACAAAACAAAACAAACCCAAACTAACAAATAAGAACCAGCTGACAGGGGAGTAGAGGACACACAAAGCCGTTAAAAAAAAAAAAAAAGAAAAAAGTAGCTCTCTGTAGAAAGCATGCTGGGAGCAGAAATATTTAGCTTATTTTCACAAGTCTTATCGGCTAACAAGAACTCTGAGTTACTGTAAATTTTAGTTACATCACCCAGAACTTAAAGTGATCCAAAGAGAAAGAAACGAGCATGAGGAAAATGACGGTGGACACTAAGTGGCTAAACATGACATGGATAAGTGAAATAAGAAAAGCCATCGGTTCTGGAGCCCACAACTTTTCCTGAGAAATATCCAGCCTTATCCCACAGCCACAGCTGTTCAGACTCCTTTTGTTCCCCTGTCCCCTCCAGGGCTCTGGAAGCACACACCGCCCTGCCGCTGCCCTGTATCCGGCTGTTCGGGCAGTGGCGGGGACGAGGTGTCCCCAGGGACCACCAAGGAGGGTCCCCTCTCCTGGCACTCGCTCCGCTGCCAGCACGGGGCGTTTCCAGCGCTGCGGCGGCTCTCGGGGGGCATCCCCGGCTCCCCATGCCCGCGGCTCCGGAGGGATCCCCCCCGCATACCAGCACGGCCCCTCGGTGTCCCCCGCCCGTCACCTTTGGTGCCGCGCCCCGCGGAGCCGCCGCGCTCGGTACCGCCGGCCATGGGCGCGGGGCTGGCGGCGCCGGAGCCGCCCGGCCGCGGCCGCTTCCCTCGCTGCCCGCCCGGCATGGGATGCGCCGGCCCCCAGGGGCATGGCCACGGAGCGCGGGCTCGGTGCCCAGCGGGACTTCGAGCCGGGAGCAGTCACTCCGGAACTCCGGAGAAATAGGAAATGAGGAGAAGTGAAGAACGCTTTCAAGGAGAAGTCGGCTCCTACAAAATCTCATTGGGATCTTGTGACATCAGCAAATTCCAGGAACTAACACGAGGAGAGAAGGCTCTGGTTTGGTTTGGTTGTTTGGTTTTGTCTGGTGGGGTTTGTTTTTTTTTTTTTTGTTTTTGTTTTGTTTTGTTTTGTTTTTGGTTTTTTTGGTGTTTTGGGTTTTTTTATGGTTTGTTTCCCCCCCCCCCCCCCCCTCTTTTTTTTTTTTTTTTTTTTTTTTTTTGGTTTTTTTCCCCCCCCCCCCCCAATTTTATTTATTCCATATTTATTATTTTTCTTCTTTTGTATGGAGAAGGAGAGTAAAATCAAGTATTTAAATGTTGATTACTTAAACCTCTTTGGAAACCCTGGCCAGTGATTTCCTTTACCTAGAAGAACATAAAGCCTGATGATGCTGGCTTGCCCTTGGGGATGAAGGTCCAATAGAAATTTCAGCATTGCTTGGAAGACAGGGCCACAGATATCATCCATTTCCTCTGGTGGTTTTGCACAATAACTGCTATACTTACAACAGATCTGGGCTGTGTTGTGTGTTCAAACAGCCTGAGGAACACAGCTCTTTCCAAGTCATCATGTGGGCTCTGTGTGAGGCTGGTGAGGAATTCAGCAGTAGTTTATCCAAAATAAGCATCCTTCTGTACCTGGGCAGGAAACTTCAAACAGAAAACCATAGGAATGGGAGGTTACACTTTAAGCTTTCACTGCAGTCTCCAATTACTTTGATTGCCAAGGATTCTGAGCAGTGGTGAGTTGCTAAAAATAATCTCCAGGTGTTTGTGTTTCAGCTTATTAAGAACCATATAAACTTTATACTTCCATAAGTATAATTTGAATTGTGCTTGATTTTAGCCTTTGCCTGCAGCAGGAGTTCATTTAAGCACTGAACTGGGAGAGCTGGACTGGTCAAAATTCCCAGGAAGGCACTGGGGAAGAACAGGAAAGATAAAAGGATGAAGAGGAATCCAAAGGATATGTGTGACAAGGCTTAAGGCATAGTGGCTTCAGGGAGGCTAGGGAACTGAGGATCCCCAGGAGAGAGAAGAGGTGATGGGTCCAGAGAGCACAAGCTGGAGACTTTTCCAGAGGTTTTTCAAGACATGAATCCATAAGGGCAGAGGATGAGAGGGGATGTGGAATTAGGGCAGCAGGGAGGTTCAGTACCTGCTTGATGTAGAGCATGTTTCACATACAAGGAGACAGTGGAACATTGGTGTGTGCATAGCTGGCATTCTAAGAACAGCTTATTCAGCATTTCTTGCTCTGAAGGAGTGGCTTGGGCTCCTGCCATTCACTCCTGCCTGTCACTGAGGTCAAAAATAGCATTGTGGCTTTTAACCACAGAGCATTCAGAAGTGAGTGCTCTCTTTGTGTTCACCCACGACTACAGAAGGTAATTCTCACAGCTGCAGGAGATTCTCCAGGCTGGCAAAAAAAACCTCTGAGAAATGCTGTCAACATAGCTGTGAATCATCTGGTCCTCAAAACTACTGTTATTAACCCCAGATGCTTGTAACTGAGACACTCACCTTCACCTTCACTTTCCCTGATCAGTTTGGCGAAGAAGCCTCCAGACAATTCCTAAAATAAAAGTTGATAAACAAGACAGGAATTTCTTGAAGGCTAAAGGCAGAATTCTCCAAAGTGAATCACTGGAAAGTTACTTTAAAATATTGCCATGATGTAAGGAGAAAAATGCAAACATTCTAAGGAAAAAGCATGGCATTGTACAAGAGGGCTTTCGTGGGACTGACTTGAAAAGTCAGAGTTGGATCCTGTGGTGCTGCCTCCTGCCTGCTGCTACCCCAAATAATCCCCGAGTACCTTTTGAGACTCATAGAATCATGGAATGGTTTCTATTGGAATAGACTTTATCTAATTCCAACCCCTCTGCCATGGGCAGGGACATCTTCCACTAACCCAGGTTGCTCAGAGCCCCATCCAGCCTGGCCTTGAACACTGCCAGGGATGGGGCAGCCACAGCTTCTCTGGGCAGCCTGTGCCAGGGCCTCAGCAACCCCCTGAGTATTGTTCCTAGTATCGGCTTTAAATCTTTTCTATTTTAGTTCAAAACTGTTCACTCTTGTCCTGTCACTATCTGCTCAGGTAAAAAGTCACTCTCCCTCTTTTTTTACAAGCTCCCTTCAGGCACTGCAAGGCCACAATGAGGTCACCCCAAAGCCTTCTCTTCTCCAGGCTGAACAATCCCAATTCCCTCAGCCTTTCCTCCCAGCAGAGCTGCTCCATCCCTCTGATCCCCTTGGTGTCCCTGCTCTGGCCTGGCTCCAGCAAGCTCCCTGTCCTTCCTGTGCTGGCCCCAGGGCTGGATGCAGCCCTACAAGGGGCACTCAGCAGGGCGGGGCAGAGGGGCAGAATCCCCCCTGCCCTGCTGCCCTGGGGCTCTGGGTGCAGCCCAGCACAGGGGGGTTCTGGGTTGGGGCAGGGCCAGCTCTCACCCACAGCACCCCCAAGTCCTTCTGCCAGGGCTGCTCCCTCTGCTCATCCCCAGCCTGGATTGATCCCAGGTACAGCATCAGCACATGGTCCTGTTAAACCCCATGAGATTCCCATGGACCACTTCCCAAGAAAGAACAGAATTCCTTTATAGATAACTTGTGACTCACCACAGAGCAAACATCACACTTAGCACCTTGAAAAGTCACTCACCATTTGAAGCCTTTGCAGCCACAAACCGAAAATGGTTCCAGAAACTCCAGTGTGTGCTAAAAAGGAACCCAGTCTGCCAGCTCTGTGACACTGTAAGTGCTGCATTTAAGGTGTTCTCTGTGTGTCCTGAGCCCTGCTTGCTGTTCTGACAGCAAATCTGCATTGGCAGTGCATCCTCCCTGAACTGCCCATTTGGCAGTGAGGTCCATTTCTTGCATTGGTGCATTTGTCATTTAGAACCAGATAAATTGTTTGCATGTGCAATACTGCATGAACTTCTTTTGTTTACATAAAATATCACTCATCTCTGAGATGTCTGTTCATGTCTGTCTCTGCTTAGTTACTTCTATGCAACAGCTTCTGGGCTTTTTAATGGTTTGGGGTGGTTTCTTTTGAGAACCTTGCCTTCATTTACTGTTTTCTCCTGCAATAAAACCAAAATCCTTTAGTTGTAATTTTTGCCAAGATCCTCAGAGCATTTTTTCCACTAAGTGTATCCTAAATACCACAGCTGGCTTGAGACACAGTTGGGATACAGGTCCATAGAAATAGGACAAGCCCCAAGGATCAGCTCTTGGAGGTGTTCCTGTCATAGGTTCTCCTTGATAAAGATCACTAATGGAGCCAGTCCTGTGTCCAGGATGTTCTCCTCTGGGGCTGGTGCTGCCAGCCTGGCCTGTCTCAGGGAGTGTCACCTATTGCCCAGCTGCAGCAAGAATTAAACCAGCCTGACATTCTCTGAGGCACTGAGCACAGAAGGAGAAAGAAATGTTTCACCCTTCCCTTGCAGTAGGGATGCCAGAGGTAATCCAAGAGTCACAAGCTGTAAAGTGGAAGTTTATTGTAAAATTTAGGTCACAAGATCAGAGAATTGTGAACAAGAACAACACAGAGACAGAGGAAACAAAGCACTTTCAGTCAAACTTCCTGTGGCTTTCTGGGTCTGATGGAGTTTGTGCAGTTCCACACTGGCCCCATGGTGGCTTCCCCTTCCCACCCTTCTGATGCACAGCTGCTGCCTCTGCTGCCTGCTGAAGGCTTCATCTGTGGGTCAGTGGCTCCCAGGGAAGAGGCTTTTCCCTGGCCCTACCTTCAGAAGAGCCCACCTGATCCAAGGGATCAGGGCAGCTGGAATATGAAAATAGAAGGCAGAAATCTATAGTACAACACAGAATGCTCTCCCACCCTCTCCAGTGAAATGAGTGCAAGCAAAGAACCCCTCCAGCTCAGCTTCCTTCTGAAATAACAGTACAGATCCTGGGGTCTGACACTGGGATTGTTCTGCTACAGCTCCATGTTCTTACTCTGTTCTTTGGGGATGTATTGGATTTTACCAATATTACCGAACAGGATCGCCTTGGTCTGTCTGGCCTTGGCTGCTGACCAAACAGTGGCACCTGTGGTCCTTCCTCCCCAGAGATGCTGTTCAGTGCCTGTGCTCGCAGCTGAGCATGTGGAGACAAGTCCGGGCATGTCCCGAGCCCCAGTGCTTGTGGGCTGGAGCTTGCTGTTGAGGGGGTCACTCCTCGAGCCTTCCTGAGCTGGAGAAACCTTTAAGGCAATGGTGAAGAAAAGAGCGGGTCCTGATGCAGAGTTTTTAATCCAGGGTTTTTCTTTCGGGCCGCATGGCCTCTGAATCCTGCAACAACTCCAACAGCACTCTCAACTGCGTGGTGTGCTTGCCTTTTTAGCTGCGGAGAGGGGCAGGGGAGGGAACACAGGGACCGCCAACCAGGTACAGGGGGAGGAGGGGGTCTCAGATGAGAGGGACACCTGGGTGGGCCAATGGCTCCCCAAGGGGTGGAGAGCATCCTTTGAACCTGCGCCAATCACTCGATGCTCCCCTTGGAATTTTTGGGTTGATAGACAATGCCCAGCAGGGGTCAAGGGTGGGGAAAGGAGAGGTGATTGACACACCACCTGGGGAAGGAAACTTCAGGGAGAAACCAGGGGAACTGAGGCACACCATGACAACACACCGCAACAGGGATGGAAAGTCAGGGAAAGAACTGGGAATACGTTTCCAAAACATCTTGATGTGAGCAGTCAGTGAGGAGGATGGCTGGTGTGAGGGATGTCAAAATGTGCTTTCAGTTTAGACAGTTTTTCCTGTAGGATTCCATTTCCCCTTCCAATGGCCACAACATTGGAATTTTTTGTATATGGATTTTTTGATTGAGCAATTTTTTCCCAGAATATCAGTGTCACTTCTTCAAGGACTTCACAGAGCTTTCTCCACCCTGCAGCTGAAGGAGAGAGCCATGAACAGCACCAATAAAGGAGGAATGATTCTGCCTAAAGGACACAGCAAGAAGAAATATTCTTGGAGTCACACAAGGCCCAGGATCCCAAGAGCCCCTAAAGAACATGGGCAGAGCTTTGGTGACATTCCCTGTTTCTTAACACAACTCTGATTTCCTGATGCCAGCTATTTCTGCTGTTGGCTTGAACATTTCTGAGCAGGAAAAGCCTTCAGGCATCATTTCCTTCTGTGATCAATCTCCAGTGAAAAGAGGTCAGAGCACCATGTTGCCATTCCCATGTTGCTGGTGAGAAGCATGAGAGTGTGGGTCACTCTCATGCTTCTCACCAGCTCCTTCACAGGTCACTATGGGTTTCATTGTCCTGGTTTCTGCCCAGATCAGCTGCTGTTGGGATTCTGTTCTCCAGGCTTTGCAGTTTCTGCTGGTCTCCATCCTGTGCCCTCCCCAGCAGATCCAAGATCTGACATTCCTTCCCTTCCCCACACAGGACTGGAGCTGATTTTATGCCCAGAGCTTTGCTGCTTTAGGAGCCTTTCCCTTGGGCTGATTCCCAATCTCCTCGCAGGCTCTGGGGTTGCCCTTCCCTACAGGATCCCAGCCAGAAATCTGTGCTGCCCTTCCCTTGTGGCTGCAGGCAAGGCTAGGCTGTGGCCAGGGGGGGAAGGGTCTCCTTGTCCCCAGGCAGGGCTGGGAACACGGGGCTGTGGATGGATGTGACTTGCAGAGTCAGGATCTGTTTGGGATCACCCCTGTCCCCAGGCTGGACTCCTCTCCCCTGGCAGTGCCTGCCTGGAAGTGCCACCTCTGGCATGAGACAATCCCAGACTCCTCCTGTGTGCCAGTGCCAGCTCTTCCAGAGGGGATCCACCCAGGCTCAGACACCATCAGGGAAAGGGTGGGCTGAGCTCAGCCCTGAGTCTGGAGAGAGGCTGCAGGAGAGCCTGGGAGCAGAGACTGGGCAGATATAGAGAAATGAGACATCCCATCCACAATTCCTACAGGAAGCTGGGCATAACATATCAGCCTGGACCTCTTGTTTTTAGCTCTCCTTCTGATGCCTTTTTGTCATTGTTGCAGCTTTTTCACACATATTTTGTGTTGTTGAGGATCCACCACAATTTTCAGTATGTACTTCACCAAATCCAATGACTGTGCAGTGATAGTCATTATACTTTCTGCTTAGACTGAACCTGAACAGGGGAAAAAAGTCAAATGTGATCACATTCCTGACATGCAGTGAAAGGCAGAGTGGCACCTGCTAAGCTGTATTACTGTCACTGGGACCAGGAACTGCCTTGCTGGAATCTCCCTCCCATTCCTCACTGTTGTTCCCCACAGCTCCACAAAAGTTTCTGGGCAATGCTTTCCCATCCAGAAATATTCCCCTGCTTTGATTCCCGCCAGCCAATGGTGCTGACATCACCCTCTCTTTTGTCCCTGCCTCCTGTCTCCTTCCTTTCCCCAGGGAGCTGCATCCACCCAGCCAGACCCTTCCCCAGCAGAACTCCAGCTGTGTCCTCTCCTGCCATGGTTACAGGACAGCCCTGTGTTCCCTGGCCTTGAAAGGCTCCCTTTCCTTGGCACAGACATGTGCTGAAGCACCTGCATCTCCAGGAATCAGGTTCCCCCAAACCACAGTCCCTGATCTCCCTTGGGCTCTCCACTCTGGCTTTGGGATTTTCCTCTTCCCAGATATTGCATGGCAGGGACTTGCTGGAAGGAGCTCACATGGCTGGGTCATGTTCCATGTTGTTGATCCACTTCCACTTCTGCTCCTCTTGAGAGTATGTGAGACCAAGTAAGTAGTAGTTATATCTTGATAGTGAGTGCAGGTATCTCTGAAAAGGAAGCCAATGGGAACACATAAAAATGACATTTTCTTCACCAGAGGCACAGAAGGCTCAGTGCTGGACAGCCAGCAGAGAGAGTGCAGTGTGCATCCAAGCCACACCACCTCTGCCCACAGCTCCATAGATTGCATTTTTCCATTTCTATTGAAGATCATCTCCCTTTTGGAGGCCTCTTATGAAGATAATAAAGGTAAAAATACACCTGTGGTGCCATTACAGCTGTACTTTGCAGTCAGACAGGTGTGACTTGATGGCTGAGGACACTTTTCCCTTCTGATGGGGATGGCAAAGCCTTTTCAGGTTTTGTCACAGCCATGGCTCTGACAAAGAAGTGTCTGTCCAGCCTCCATGGCCTGTGTGCTAAATGCCTGTAAAAGCCCAGCCAGCTGGGCAGGGAGTTTGCTCCTTGCCATGGGATCAGCCTGGGCACAGAAGCTTCCAGGGACAGGACTCCAAGCCCCAGGAGGCCTCTCCCTGTGCAGGGCTTTGCTCCCACTGCCAGGGCTGGGGTGTCCATGGGTGGCAGCAGGTCCCAGAGCCCAATGCCATGTGACAGGAGCTGGCAGAAGTGTCACTGCTCAGCCCTTGGCCAGGGAGCTCCAGCCCCCCAAGCAGCTGCCCCAGGAGCTGGATCTCACCAGCTCTTCCCTGCTGTCAATGACCACCAGGTCTGAGCCCATGGCAGTGCATTCTGCACGGGAGGCATTCCAGTCCTTTGGTTTCACCTCTGGAGAAAAGAAGTAGCATTTTCTCTCACGTTTTTTCCATGGTGGGGGGCAGCCTGCAGAAGGGAAGAAGAGGTGTGTAAAATCCATATTCACACTGACCAAAAGACAGGACAGAGAGGCAATTCCAGCCACAGAAATGCCTGTGTGCTCCTGCTGAGAATTGTCACTAGAGCACAAGGGATTTCCCCACAGCCTCTGGAGCTGATACCAGCCCAGAATCACCAGGCAGAAGCCAGACAGGAAGCAGCACAGCAAACATGATCCAGCCTTTCCCATCTTTGCTTAGCAACTCCTAAAGAGCCACAGGGAATTGCACTGAGTTCAAAGGCTGCTAATTGAGGGCCTTGGAAAAGCAGTGGAGGCACATTATCCATCCTGTTCCCTGCATTGCTGGGCTTCCAGAGGGATGGTTCTTCCTGTGCCTTCCAGAGCTCATCCTGGGAGTGTCCATGATCAGGTTTCTATTCCTGAGATGGGAGAGGTTTTCTTTCTTTGTTTCTCTTCTCAACAAAATACAGTCACACACCCTCAGCTGCCCTCTTCACAGTCAATCCCACAGGCTTCTGGAAACTCCCTCTGGAATGACAGAGGATTACCTACCTAGTGCCTCTTCAGGGATGGTTGTTGTTAATTCCTGTTGGCTGTTTGCAGTTGGACCATCTGGAAATAAGAACACAATTTCTGCTTGCAAGGAGTGGCCACAGTGCCACTCAGAGAGGTCAGAGCTCTGCTGGACCTCTCTGACGCCCCCATCACCCAACACAGAATGCAAACTCTGCCTCTTTGCTCATGGGTCTACTATAAAAATCATAAAATGGTCAGGAAAGGTTCCACTGAGTAAAAGGCAACACTTAAGTTCATTTAAACAAGTTGCATCTTAACAACAGTGTCTTTGTTAACAAGACCCTATGGAAAATTCATACAAAACTAAAACTTAGAATAAACTCAAAATGCAACAGTTTGTATTTGGAGCACAAGTGAAACCTGTGTGCTCTTGAACTTAAAAACTACCTTGATTTCATTTCTCAAATTTGATCTAGATCTCAATTTACTTAGGAGTATTTTTTCAGGTCGGCAGCAGTTCAAAGCCAGTACTGAGCCCCACAAAAGAACTATAAATAAAGCCCGTCCTGGATCTACGTCTAAGGACAACTCCTCTTTCAGTGTTGGACTTAAAGCTATACTAAATGCAAATTACACTTTTTTATTTTCTGTTGGTTCAGTATTTGTTTTTAATTTGCACCACCCTTTGCTGTTTGGCATTTATAAATGTCAGGGCACTGTCAGACATCAATCCTGAACTCTTTGCCTTAAAAAAGAATGCCTTGCCTACCCCAGCCTTGTTTTTTAAGTTCCAATGATCAAAGACTTTGCCCTATCTTCCCCATGTGCATCTCTGAGCAGGTGGCAAACTCTGGGACTGGAGAGTGATTGGTTGTGGAAGCTTCACAAGTTTTCTCAGCTATCAAAGGATGGAAAGAAACAAGCAAAACCATCTGAAATTTTAAAATGATACCTTGAAAACTTTTAAAGGAAATAACAATTGGGTCTTTTTTATTTTTTTTTTTAATTTTTTTTTTTCTGATGGAAGTAAGATTTTTTTTCTATAAAATATAATTTATCTTTTTACATAGCTCAAAATATCCCATTATCCTAAGCAAACTCTTTTGAGATGTGATTTAGTTCCTCCTTCAAATGAACTTTAATTCATAATTATTTTAAGATTTTTGGTGTTATGGACATCTTGGTCTCATGATACAACCTCATCAGGTTGTGGGATTCTCCCACTTAGCAATTGTATTACTGGCAGGCATTATCAAATCTTAACTTGTTTCTTCAAAACATTTGTATAATAAATTCCTTATTATTTGAATGTTGTCCATTTTTCATTGGGATTTTGGCTTTTTAATCTGTTGGAATTTTCAACTTTCAAACCACTCAACTCTCTTACAGATATCCTCTTACAGCTATGGTTGGATAAAAACTGCTGTCCTTTGCCTTCAAACCAAACTTCTGTTCCTACTGGCTTTGGATGTCATGGCCTGGACATCAGACAGTGGGAGAGAGACACAAATAAATGGCTGTTATGACACTAACAAAAGAACTTACATGTGATTACTAAATATACTGCCAGGACCAGTACGAGGATTATCACCACCAATATAGCGACATATTTTCTGGAACAACGGCTTTTACCTACAGAGGAACAGAAAAATAAACATTAGGGGAACATCTGGACAGAAGCCCCTTTCCTCTGCATTCCAAGGTGCCCTTTTTAGGCTCCCACTGGTACTCTGGAGCCTTCCAGATCTGCAGGCTGGATCCAGGCTCAATGTCCTGGTGCTTCCCCACTGGCTCTGGACCCCTGTGCTCAGGAAACTGAACAGATCCCAACATGCCATGGGTTTGAGGAGAGGTGAAAAGGAAAAGAGTCCTTGCAATCAATGCCCTCCCTCTGCTTCCTCATCTCCTTTGTTCACTTTCCCCTGCTTCTGGGGACAGGAGCCTGGGCTCGGTGGGTGTCTGGGTGCGGCCCATTACATCCTTCTGTCCCTCTGCCAGGAAAGCCAACAAGTGTTTAGGGGCACAGAATGCAACACCTCGGCTGCCCCTGCTCTGAGCGTGGAAAGCAGACAATTGTATCCTTCTGCCTCCTCGTGGTTTTGTGTCACTGTGTGTTTGGGAGATCAGGATCAGCCCCTCTGCCCTTCTTGTTTAAATTCCCATCACTTTATCAGACAACTAAACTCACCTGCTGATTTGCAGTTTGCTGCAGCATTTGCGTCTTGGGCTTTCACTTTCACTTCTGCATAGGTACAATCTGAGCCTGGGAACAAGAACAGAGCACAGAGAGAGCTGAGAATCAACTTAAATGAAACAAAAATGACTAAAATTCTGAGAAATGCTGAACACAGGACAGCATCTGGTTGACGTGACTGTGGATAACTACGTACAAATTATATTTTTCTCGTTATAAGCACTGATCTCTGCTCTGTGTGACCAGGAACAGGACCCAAGGGAACAGCTGGAGCTGTGTCAGGACAGGGTCAGATTGGATATCAGGGAAAGGTTCTTCCCCCAGGGGGTGCTGGGGCACTGAACAGGCCCCACAGCGAATGGTCACAGCCTCAGGACTGCCAGAGCTCAAGCAGCATTTGGACAATGCTCTCAGGGATCCACAGGAGGTATCTGTGCAGGGCCAGGAGTTGGACTAGAGGATCCTTGTGAGTCCCTTCCAGCTCAGGGTATTCTGATTCCATGATCCATGATGACACTTTCACCCTTGGAGCACTTGACAGAGGCAGGAAGAGATCTGGTTTCTCTTCAAGGCAGACAATACCAGAGGGGACAGGGGCTCACACTCACATTGTCAGTCTTGACAAAAGGGAAGGAAAGTGTCAAGGGTGGCCTAAGGTTGTTCATCCCAACAGGAATGGTAAGAATGACTAAAACATCAAACCTGAAAATTGCAGATTGTGCTAAAATTGGAGAGGTTCAAGATTTTATCTAAATTAACAAGATAACAGGGAGAATAGTGAAATCTGTTTTACCATCTGCAGGTAATAAATACAAAGCAGCAGGGAAGAAAACCTGTAGAGAGGAAATAAAGGTCAGAGAGAGATAAAAAGTGGGTAGAAAATCAAAAATAGGACGTTGCAATGTTGTAAAACTCTCCAAGTCATCATGATATTCAAACTGACCCCCTGGATTCTATCACTGTAAAGAGGTAAGGCAGAAATCAGGGTTTTGAGCTTTTTTCAGAAGCTGGAGACAATATCTGGGAAATCTTGTGCATAAATTCAGAGAACACATAGAAATTTGGTAAGGGCTTCCCTGAAAGGCACGAGCAGAGAAACAGCAAAATGTTGCTAGAAATCTGTCAAAATTTTGGATAAGAATACATGGGTTACATTATAAGGAAAATGGAACTTGTAATCAGGTGGCATCTATTGTGGTCAATTGAGCTCTGAATTCATCTGTTGAAAGGGGGGGTAAAACCCTGTTTCCTGGGTGTTAGTAACTCCACCCATCTGAAAAGACATGCAGAGGGTTCACACTTTCTGCAAAGGAAAAGCACTGGATGGCAAGAAATAATTTCTGCCAGAATGAAAGCAGGGTTAGAAAGAAAGGAAAGAAAAATGAAAATTAAATACACTCTATGAAGTCTGTTAACTGTTATGATGAATTTTAAGGCAGGTATTGAAAAACCAGTATAACCATTTATGTAAAAATTGTTAGTGTATTAAAGAAAGATAAATCCTCGGTTAGAATTTTGCAAAGTCTTTGATCCTTAATCAGACTAAACCTGTCCATGAAAAATTTCAGACTTGTGCATTCAACAAGCAGTTTGTACAGCCAGAGCAGGAGGAGAAGCCCCCAGGCAGTGCCTGCTCTGCTCAGGGAGCAGGAACAACGGTGCAGGAGACTGCTGTGAACACCTGCAACAGCAGCCACTCCATCCTGGGCAGTGTGCTGCAGGAATCTCAGTCTGCTGGGGGACAACAGGCCAGGACCAGGAGCAATGGACGTTCAGCTCTGGAATGGTCTCCAAAATGGATAAAACAACTCTTAATATCACACCAGACATACTGCCTCACACTTGCACCTTAGCAAGAGAAAAGTAGATCTCCCAACAACTTGCCTTTGTAAATATAAACAACCCTCTCTAGACACTCCACCTGCAGTTTTCCAGCACTGGCCCTCATGTTTCCCTTGTGCTCTTTGGGACTTGGGTGCTCCAAGGAACTCTGTCAACATATGTGGGAGAGAGACTGGAGAATGCAAAGAAAGCTCAGTGCTCAGACCTACCTTGGACATCAGGGAGCATTAGGATTCTGGGTCTAGTTGGTTCAGGCAAGTTCAGGTCAGCATAAAGGACATTTTCTGCCATACTTGTTGCTGCTTCTCCTTTTTCCCTCCGTTGGCTGTTCTGACAATGACACTCTGGGTTGGGTACAACTCAGAGCTCCCTCCCCTCTCCAACCCTCAGGAGGAAGTTCTTGACTCTTCTGGTCATGCATCAACTTCTAATGAGAAGAGAATTCTATTTCTACTTCATCTATTGATGGCACAAGGGTTTTATGTCAGTAACATAAGGAAATATAAGTTCACAGCCTCCCTGAAGTCACCTGTGTTGGGAAGTGGTTCTGGATTGGAAGTGTCTTGAGTTCCCAAAGCTTCACCACCCACACACAAAACACTTTGCCCTGCTGTGTCCTGAGCACTGTGGCCTCTGTGCAGCTCACAGACATTTTCTGCTTCTCTACAAGGGAATTCTGGAGGCAAAATGGGGATCAGAAAGTGAGATTGGTCCAGCTTGTTTTGGGAAGCGCAAAAGGTGCTTAAGGCAGCAGCTGGAATAATGTGGCCTAAACAAAACTATCCATTTGCTTTCCAAGTTTGTAATATCCTTCTGGGCAGTTGGGGTCAGCTGTGTCCCCTCTCAATTCCTTGTGCACCCTCAGCCCCCTCAGTGGTGTGGTGGGATGACAAACAGAGGACTCTCTTTAATCTCTGCTCAGCAAAAATTAAAACATCCCTGTGTTCTCAACACTGTTCCAGCACAAATCCAAAATACCAATTGCTATGAAGGAAATTAACTCTATCCCAGCTAAAACCAGCCCAGGGCCCTAGAATTTAAGCAGGATGTGAAGATCCTTGAATGGAGGCTCAGAGGAAGGGAACAAAGCTGGTGGAAGTGTTGGAAGGAATGTCCTGTGAGGAGCAGCTGAGGATTCCATGGTTTGTCCAGTATGGAGAAAAGGAGGCTGAGGTGTGACCTCTTTTCCCTCTGGACTCCTAGCACAGGAAGGACATGGAACTGTTGGAGAGAGTCCAGATGAGGCAAACGAAGTGTTGAGAAGCTGGAGAACCTCTGCCATGAGGAAAGTCTGAGAGAATGAGATTTTTCCGTCTGGAGAACAAAAGCTCTGGGGTGACCTAACTGTGACCTTCCAGTGCCTGAAGGGAGCCACACGAAAGATGGAGAGAGACTCTTGACAAGGGCCTGGAGTGTCTGACAAGAGGAAATGGCTTCACACTTACAGAGAGTGGGCTAAATTGGATATTAGGAATAAATTCTTCTCTGTGGGCATGGTGAGGCCTTGGTACAGATCCCCAAAGAAGTGTGGCTGCCTCATGCCTAGAATTGTCCAAAGTCAGGTTGGATGGGGCTCTGAGCAACCTGGGATAGTGGAAGGTGTCCCTGCCCATGACTGGGAAGGTGAAATGAGATGATCTTAAGGTGTCTTCCAACCCAAACCATTCTATGATTCAATGATTACTGTATTCCTGTCTTTATAGAAATATAACACATTGCTTTTCTGATTTAGAACAAACTATAGGAAAAAGTTGAGTCGTTTTTAATAAAATAAATACCAATTCTGATTGAACCTATTCCTTCCACAGGAAGACAATTTTCCATTATGGATATATTCTCTCAGGGCCATCAGATCTGGAACACCCTCTGGTGCCAGTGGTCATGGCAGAGGCTTCTTCAAAGGGCCAGGGATGTGTTCTGGTATTCTGTGCCTCATGTCCCATAATCAGAGGCCTAGAGAAGCCAAGCAAACACCAAATGTGTGAGAGAAAGAATAGGAAGTGAAGCAGTTTCTGTGGTGGTTTATGACTCAGAAGTTTGTATTGTAGTCAAATGAAGGTTTGCAGTGGCCCTCAGACCTGACAGGGAGACATGTCCAGAAATTCTGTGGCAGGCTGAAGTGCTGAGGCCTAAACAACAGGCCCTGAGCCAAAGCTGCCTCTAGATGAACCTTCCAACCAAATGTTTTATATATATATATATATATATATAATTTACTTTTCAATCATTAATGAGCTATTGTTATATGTGTATGTTTGGTGTGTGTTTGTTTATTGGCAAAACATGCTTTTACCTTTCCATATCCAGAAACTGGATAAGGCCACATCTGGCCTAATTAGGTGGGTACACAATCAATGACAACTCCCTTGGTTCCCCCTTGAGCCCTGGCGAGGCTTTGGGAGAAATCCAGCAGGGGAATGAAACTAGAAATTATGTCAGCTTGTTTGTTTAAGTGTATGAAAGATGGACTACTGTCGCAACAAAGTTGGGAAGCCATTCCACATCTCCACAAAGGTGGAATGGGTTGGAAAGAATCTTAAAGATCATCTTGTTCCAAACCCTTGCCATGGGCAGGGACATCTGCCAGTATCCCAGGTTGCTCAGAGCCCCGTGCAACGTGGCCTTGGACACTTCCAGGCACAGGGCAGCCAGAGCTTCTCAGGGCAACCCAAAGTATTCTGTGATTTTTCAGCTCCACCAAGTCTTAATTTCTTTTTTCATTCAGATTTTTCTTTTCTATTAGAGAAATGCATTGCTAATTTGCCAGTTGTAACATGGACTGAGTGTAGGAAACATCCATTGAGTTCAATCAACTTTTTTTGGTTTTTACTGCCGGTTTTCTGGAGTGACAAGCACATGATAGCAACAATCCCACTAATTTTGCCATAAAAATAATGTTCCTCTTTCCTGTGGAATATTGCCTACGCTCATCAGCAGGTTCTGCTGCATCTTGAGGGAGATGACTGTGTGGGCTGGTGCTGTTTGAAGAAGGAAGATGAAATACCCCACTGAGTTGATGCTTTTGAACTCCATTTGACAAGGATGGTGCAAATACCATGGGCGGGGGGAAGTTAAAACAGAGCTCCAGCTCCCCTTGTAAATCCTTTTATGTGATACTGAGGTGCTGCATAACTTAATGCTGGAGATAGTACACAGGGTAGTTTGTATCATATTTCTGAGCACTTAGCCACACTTTTCAGCATTTAAATGTATACTTATTATTTCTCTGTGGTATTGTGTATTTTCCACAAAACTATGATGGGGAGTGGTAAATACCTCCAGTAATTTAAAGATGTTTTAAGGTGGGACAATGGATGGGACAATGGCCCTCCATGTCTGTCTTAATAATGAAATGTCTGTGTTAATAATTCTGCTGTAATTCATTAGTATCTAATGAATTTGTCTTCCTAAACTCTAGCTAAGGGCATGGGCAACATCTGACAGAGTTTTCCTAACAGATAACCCCTCACACTCCCACTTCACTCCTACTCTTGCCAGCTCTATTTCTATTTTTCCAAGATGAGTCATGTCCTTCTTTTGGCCTTTGCAATCCCAAACTCAATGTGGCCATGACCAAGAAGGACAGAAGAAGGGGAGATTTTTAATATACCAGGCTCTTGTCCAATATTTACATTGTGCAGCCTCAGGTCAGAGGTGAAGAATCTTCTGGGGTCAGTTGAGTCCGATGCATCTCTGTACCTCATCAAGAAAACAGATTTGGTAAAGATTTCATTACAAGATCCAAATTCAAAGACAAGTAGTCTGCAAATCAGCTACTCTGAAATAGATAAATATTTAAAATTAAATATACATTATGAACAAAGAATGCAGTAAACACTTGGAAAAACAACCCTCCTTTGTGAAAGCAAGCCTTTTGGGCTGGTTTTTCACCCCTTGACAATACTCGAATAATGACTTTTTTTTGGTTGTAGTAAAAAGGAAAATTAAAACAAAAATCACGGATGTGAGAGAGAGAAGTTTAGAAGGAAGATTTCAAATAGAAAACCTCACTAAAATTCCACTTACAGTAACTAGGATGTCTTTCCCTCAAACTATCCGTTCCTTGGGTTCAATGGATGTGCTTGACAGCTGAGCAAATGTGGATTTTTCTGTATTTAATGTGCTTGCTTACTGTATCCAGACCTATAATAATTGGGAGATATTTTCTGATACATAAAAGATTTTAAAAAAACCTGTAACTTTTTTGGGACCAAAATTATCTTCTAATACAAACAAAGAGTAGCACTACCAAGGAGGAAAAAATCATTGTTAACATCAAATATATTTTCTGAAAATAATGGAATGTTTAATACTTTTGAAATAAAACATGTAAATTTTTCCTCTCAGGATGTTCTTTTAGGAGAAATTAAATGCTTTGGGTTTACCCCAAATCACTTTTTAAAACTCATTATTAAACAAATAAGAACAAGTGTTTCTTCTGTCTTTTCCTGCAGTAATTCACAGCCAAAATGTCCCTGTCTGGGTCACAATCCAAGAAAAGATTTAAAAAGTGGTTTTGACAAGAATCATTTTGCAACCAGCTGATGACCATAAGGAAGTCTGGCTACCTCACTCACTCCAACGTTTACCCATTTTTAGACAAACATCATGACATATTTTGTGCAACATATATTTCACTGTTGTGTGAAAGAGGAACTGAAAACAGCTGAACAAAGTAAAACCACTGAAACTGGCAAACTGGTATAAACTCTTTGTATCTGGATAAAATTAAGCTGCCTGTTTCTCTTTTACACTTATAGCAAAAGAAAACAGCTTAGATTTTATTTAGCAGCCTTGGTGGCATTTTTCCCCCTCTAAACTCCAGCTGCTTTGACATCACACTTCTATACTTAGTGGTTGCCTGACAGTGGGAAAAACAAGAATTCCCAAGGATGTCCTATTCTATGCCTGACATATTTAAGTGTGCTGGGGCCTCACCACCCTCACAGGCAACAATTTCTTCCTCATATCCATCTAAACCTCCTCTCTGTCAGTGTGAAGCCATTCCCCTTGTCCTGTCACTCCAGGCCCTTGTCAAGTCTCTCTCCATCTCTCCTGTGGGTTCCCTTCAAACACTGCAGGGCTACAATGAGGTCACCCCAAAGCCTTCTCTCTTCCAGGCTGAACAATCGCAATTCCCTCAGCCTTTCCAGGCTGAAGTTTCCCAGTCTTCTTAGCCTTTCAATATACATTTTTTCCAACATACTTGGAGCATGATCCTTGGCAAAGGGGGATGAAGAAGAAATCTGTTCAGCTTACAGAGAAGCAGATGCTGCCATTTCAGAAGGCAC